CTGTCTGAGCCCCTCCGCCCGGCCTGATCCGGACCCTGCGGGCGCTCAGCTGGGCAGCACTGGGGACGGCTGGCATAGCGCAGGCGATACCAGAGCCAGGTGGGACCCCGCAAGAGCGTCCAGCCGGCCTCTCCCCCTCCCAACCTCCATGCCCACCTGGACTGCAGGCGTTTGCGCCGGCCGCCGGGCCAGGAAGGTGAGTCTCTCTCGCCAGCCCCGCCCCGCCCCATGTCGTCGTGGTGTGAATGCCGGGCTGGCCAGCGTAAAAGACGGCCAGGGCCTCCGCTCTCGAGCCGGGAGGGGGGGCGAGTGGGCGGGCGGCTGGCACTGAAGGGGTGGGGAGCGGGTCAGCAGAAGGTGCTGAAAGGCGCCCAGGACACAGCAGACCGGCCTGAGAGGTGGGGAAGGCGGGCGAGGGAGCCGTCAGCCAACTTGCACTTTAGGCAGGGGCAGAGAGCTGCGAGTGCGAGCGCCCCCCCCAGATGTTGCGCCCGGTGCGGCCGGCCCCCCCTGCACCCCCCACGCTACGCCTCTGCTCCACAGACATTGTGATACATGGTTTTCTCTTTAGTTATTAGCCACCCAGAGTCACGTTTGGTGATATGATATGAATTTATATAGTTACATAAATTTAATAGACAGAGAGACAGACAGACAGAGATACCTTCATTTTGTAGTGAATTGATTTAGACTGCTTAAAAACAAACAAATGCACCTGGAGTTCCTCTGATAAGTCAGGTGATTTACAAACGGATCTCTCTTTTACATTCTCAGATATACAGGACTAAACTCAAAATTTGTACTCAACAGAGTTCTACTGAAGAAAAAAAAGTGGGAGGGAATTTCTCCTGATTTCCAATGCAAGCCTCAGTGCTGCCTCCCACACAGTTGTGAGAAAAAGAGAAACCCCCAAATTCTAGCTCTACAGAATATTGCCTCCTAATCCCCTTCATAAATGAAATAATTTAGACTGAGTTCACACTCTGTCTTTTCTTACCTGAGTGTTGATTCGGATAGCGCCAATGGAAGGAATTTCAAAATAATAGCCTTAAAAAAAAACAGACACACACACACAAAATTAATGTTAGAAATTTTTTTAGCATCATCTTTTGAACTGGTTTTCAGGACAAAATCCTCTTTTTAATCCAATATTTGGTACACCTGATGCAGGCTACATGCAACAATGAGTTAACTAAGCTCAAACTCACTAAATTTTGATTGCATCATCCCCAAACAGCTTCCCATCTGAGATCCAGAAATTCTGTTGAGATAAGCCAATACAATCATCATGTTTAAGGAGGGCCTTGAGCCATTAATTTGGTTGGATTCAACTCAGCTGACCTGCTTTGGCATCATCACCTACTTCTTTAATTTGACAGGTGGCGAGTAAGAGCGTCTTCTCCTCTTCTGCCTCACCACCAACTGCCAGCAGTCACTGGTTTCTTTCAGACACCTGACAGGATGGCAACATTCACTAAATATGATGGACCACCCAGGCAGATGCCTAATCTGGGCCACCAGAGCAAGCAGACAAAGTGGACCCATCAAAATAGAGGCAACTCCATTCCAGCAATCAACTAATTAATATCCTCCAATATCCAACTTCCCCAAGTTCAAATCCTTCACAGTCTACAAATACTGCATAGCAGCCATCTCTCTTGCTGATGAAGATTTGCTAGAATGTGGGATGTGGCATCTACAATTCTCCCAATTAATACTTTAATCAAAGCCTGTAAAACCTGAATATTAATTTACATAGTCTTCATGGTAGTCGTACACACATAGGAGGTATACAGAGAGACACACATGGAAAGAGGTATTGAAATTGAATTCCCATATCTTTTAAACTAAACTAAACTAAACTAAACTAAACTAAACTAAACTAAACTAAACTAAACTAAACTAAACTAAGGCAGATGGAAGCCCAGAGTCCATTTTTAAATATTTCTGTTTCTGTTTTAGTTGCTTGTACATATTTTCAGTGATCAAGTATATTCTTCTCATATGCAGAACAAGTCTGATACTTTAAATTCTTTTTCTTTTCATCCATCCATAAGCATAAGAAAAATTGATCCCTGTTCTTAGAGTTTTAAATCTAAATTGCAGCAGAAAAGAAACTACAAAGGCTAGACACTGTAGGAGGAAAGCTTGTTAGACTATGGTGGCAAAAATCAGGAATCCGGCAGCCCCTTTTCCAACTAACAAATGTTACTGGAAGACATAAGCTTTTTTTGCGCTTCAATTTTCTTCATCTAACTAATGTGGGATTTAAAGTGGGATAAAGTGGGAGCAGTGAGAGGAAGACGGTTTGTTTATATAGATGCAGGTAGAACATGGGACAAATTACAAATACCTTATCAACTAACAATTGTATTATAACAAACAACACAATAGTTGTCCTGAAGCTGCTTTTTCACGAGGCAACTGGACTTTCTTGTTTTTCCTTTGAAGACATTTTGCTTCTCATCCAAGAAACTTCTTCAGCTCTGACTAGATGGTGGGGAATGGAAGAATTTATAGTATACTCATTGCAGACAGCTGATCATTTGCAGTCACAGCTGAAGAAGCTTCTTGGATGAGAAGCGAAACATCTTCAAAGGAAAAACAAGAAAGTCCAGTTGCCTCGTGAAAAAGCAGCTTCAGGACAACTATTGTGTTGTTTGTTATAATACAATTGTTAGTTGATAAGGTATTTGTAATTTGTCCCATGTTCTACCTGCATCTATATAAACAAACCGTCTTCCTCTCACTCCTCCCACTTTATCCCACTTTAAATCCCACATTAGTTACCACTATGACCTGGGACTACTATGACCTGGATGACTGAGAATCTCCACAGACATTTAACACAACAGTTACAATAAGTAGCAGTTATGAGGTAGAGGCTTCCCTTTTCTCATTATAAATTCTCGGATTTTTTTTTAACGGTCAAGCAAAAACATTTAAATTGTACTGAGCGCATGGAGTGAGAGTACTAGCAATTCATTTCTTTTTTTGGAAGTGTGAAGAGGAGGTGAGGGAACTTGTGTTATTCCTGGAGAAATAGTAGTCTGGGCACCAGGGCATTTTGAGCTGATCTTCAGGGTGAGGAAACTGTTAAGAGACTAGGAACTGCTAAGAGGAAGGCAGGAGCAAGCCATTAAGGAGGGATTTGGGAAAAAGATTACAGGGTTTAGGGATGGAGAGAAACGAAAGAAACACAGCATAATCCTGCTCGATTTTAGTATAATACTGGATAAAGAGAAACTTGGACAAGCTTTGAAGATTCTATTAATATACCCTACAGGAATAAATTAGTATTCCTTGGAATCCCTGCAGATTTGTAACTTGGCCTGGCCTACCTCAAATACTTGATGGGTCCCGACTGAATGAAGGTTTGTTTATGTGGGCTCCAATTGGTCAGCTGGAGAGAGAGTATTGATTGGCTCAATGCCTTTTGATTTTAAGAGCAGCAGAAATGAAGATGATCAGCAGATCTGCTTCGAGCAGTTTTGGAGGGACTTGGGAATGGAAATGGTGTTGTATGGAAATGCCCTGCCTTCTTTTTAAAGTAAGTTTGGATATTGACAAAAAAACAAAACAATTCTCTCCAATTTTTTTTTGTATCACAAAGTGTCTTTCCAGGAAGGCTGTTATGATGTAACTGGGAACAATGGGAACAGCAATAATTACGTGTAGTATAGAGTAGTGTAAAGTGTTGAATGTGATCATGGAGACCCAGTTTTAAGTCTGCTCTGAGCCTTGGTGCTTTACAGTATGACTTTGCGTCAGTCATTCTCTCACCTCACTCTACCCATAGGATTGTGGTTGTGGAGAAGAATTGGAGAAGAAGCACTATAGATGCTGCCTTGAATTCCTAAGGCAAATATGGGATATACATCTAACAAATAACTATACATATCTGTGGGTCTGTTTGGCATATAGTTGTATTGGGAATACTAATCCTGTTTTAGATATTAACCCAGATGGATTACCTGGGGCCAGACATTCTATCTCAGCCCTTGGAAGGAGGCAATGACAAACCTGTTCCAAAATCTTGCCAAGAAAATTGCAGGGACTAGTCCAGGCAATTGTCAGGTGTCAAGACCGACTCAAAAGCACACACACAATACATAAATATCCACCCCGGGCCACCCCAATGATGCCCTTGACGTGATGGCCCGGTGTCTGGAGGCCGTGAGGGTCTGGATGGGGAGGAACAGACTCAGGCTCAACCCATCCAAGACCGAGTGGCTGTGGCTACCGGCGCCTCGGCATAGTCAGCTGATCCCATCGCTGACTATAGGGGGCGAAACTTTGGCCCCCTCGGATCGGGTTCGCAACTTGGGTGTTCTCCTGGATTCACGGCTGACACTGGATGACCAGTTGGCGGCCGTGACCAGGGGAGCGTTTTATCAGGTTCGCCTGATTCACCAGT